CAGCAGCAAGCAGCAGCAGCAACCAGCAGCAGCAACCAGCAGCAGCAGCAACCAGCAACCAGCAGCAACCAGCAACCAGCAGCAGCAGCAACCAGCAGCAGCAGCAAGCAGCAGCAGCAACCAGCAGCAGCCAGCAGCAGCAACCAGCAGCAGCAACCAGCAGCAGCAGCAAGCAACCAGCAGCAGCAACCAGCAGCAGCAGCAGCAACCAGCAACCAGCAGCAGCAACCAGCAAGCAGCAGCAACCAGCAACCAGCAGCAGCAGCAACCAGCAACCAGCAGCAGCAACCAGCAACCAGCAGCAGCAGCAACCAGCAACCAGCAGCAGCAGCAGCAGCAGCAACCAGCAACCAGCAACCAGCAGCAACCAGCAGCAGCAGCAGCAGCAACCAGCAGCAACGAGCAACCGGCAGCAGCAAGCAGCAGCAGCAACCAGCAGCAGCAGCAGCAGCCGCAGACATGCTACCTTTCGTCCACCTCCGTCTCCTCAAGTGCTATTAGGTTGGAGGCCATCGCTAGAAATTAATTGGGTTGGAGGCAATTGCTGATAGGTTGGAGGCCATCGCTAGTAGGTTGGAGGCCATTGCTATTTGGTTGGAGGCCATTGCTATTTGGTTGAAGGCCATTCAAAGAAACAAAGGTCAATCATTTTCGAAGTCAGGTCGAGTACCCCTTTGCGAAGCCCAAGCCACGCCCAAAGAAGGACATGCCAAAGCTTCCAGGTGCACAGCTTGCCTGATATGGTCGTTTCAGCACAGAAGCTTGGGGAGACAGACAAAGAAACAGAGGCAAAGACAAGCCATCAACGTCTTTCAGAAAGGTCACCATGGGATATGCACTTTCTGAATGTTGGGTGAGCTAGCAGACAACGTCAGGGTCACTTCACATAGGACATAGGGTGATCATGTTGAGGATGAAACCATTTGGATTTCGATTGATGTTCGCGTTGTTCAATTTCCATCCGCAGTATGGTCTTGCTGACAGAACACGGTCTGGAATGAAAGAACGTGTACTGCTGTCCGGCTTATGAGTTCCAATGTGTGCCGAGTGTCCAGCTTGTGCTTGTTTTTTTCTAGAGAGGAAGACACATGGGAAGTGATGAGAAATGCTAGACCTTTTAGAGAAACGTGGTCTGATCATGCTCGAGTCGGGCTTTGATGGTTTTTTCCTGTCAAAGGCAAAGCTCCAGCTACACCAGGACAGAAAAAGAGACTGTCGTGTTTTTGCTTTTAAGACGAAGTGCTTCGATGTAGTAGCAAGAAGCTAGGCGGTGGAGGCCATCGCTCTTAGGTTGGAGGCCATCGCTATTAACAAGAGAAGCTACTAGTAGCTTCTTGTTACTGTACTACTAGTAAGGCACTTGTTACTAGAAGCCATGCACTTGTTCCTAGTAGCTTCTTGTTAGTAAGGCCAGGAGCGCCCCGAACGCGTCCTTGCTACGAGTTAAGAAGGAACGCCTGGTGCGCCCCCTGGAGCGCCTGGCGCGCCGCCCGGTGCGCCGCCCGGTGCTCCACCGTCACCTGGCGCCCCGTGAGGGCGTCGATGCGGCGACGGCGAGTCGCTGGGCACCCACGGCGTTCGGACGAAGTCCGAAGAGTAGACGAGTAGCTTCTTGCCACTAGTAGCGATGGCCTCCACCTAGCTTCTTACTACTAAGGCACTTAGCTACTAGTAGCTTCTTGCTTCTAGTAGCGATGCACCTTGTTACTAGTAGGTTCCGAGCATCTTCGGTAGACTGGGTGGACCGAGCAAAAGACTTGGAGACTCACTGGGACGAGTCGGAGCAAAAAGACTGTGTTCGATGGCAAGAACACAAGAGCACAACAAACAAGCAATCCTCGAAAATACCTTGGAAGCAGGAAACGAAAGACATGAAATACGGTTTAAAGGTCTGATGAAACAAAAGCGAAAAGCAGAAAGGACAGGAAGAAAGATCTGAGCCAAAAAGCAAGACACAAATGGTCTAAAGGTCTCAGAAAAGTGAATTGGAAAATAGAAACACAAACGAAAAACGGACAGAGGTCCAAAGGACGAGCAAAAAGAGGTCCAAAGGTTTAAGGAAAAAAACTGACATGAAAGAACAACACGGTTCTAACGGGCTGAATAAAGAAACCGAAAGAAACGAGAACAGAAGGACAGAAATGGCATGCCTCAGGATCTTGAAATAGAACCGATAAGAATTCAGCAAGAAACATACAGAAAGGTCAGAAGGCCCAAAGGAACGCGGAAAGAAAAGGAGGAAGAACGAAACAGGAAAGATCACAGACAGGAACAAGAAGACCAAAGAATGACACACAATATATTAAACCTGTTTAAAGGTCGAAAGAAACAAGAATTGAAAAAGGAAGAAAGGAAGACAGACGAGAGATAATAAGGTTCTTAAGGTCTAAAGGTCTAAAGACGGAAAAGAAGACAGACACCAATGGGCAGCAAACAACGGAATGAACAGGCCTAAAGAAGAAGAAAACAGATTGATAAAAGAGATAAAGAAAAGACGGAAGAAAAAAGACAAGAAAAAAGGAAAAACGACAGAAATCACAGGTGGACAATCCAAAGAGAAGAAAAGGAAAGACAAGAACGTACTACTAACAAGAGCGCTTTTGCAAGCATCTGCATAGCTGTACACTTCTTTCCGAACGACAATTCATGTGCTTTTGTGTAGTTTGTCCTTTATCCGCTTGATGCCATTCTTGAGCACCCAAAGTGGCTTTTCCCACGACTGGCACATTGTGACTCCCCAGATTGCGCCTCTGGGATTTGATGGTGAAGAGGGTCGAGAACAATAGTGACAATTCGAGAAGACACTTTTCTTCTTTTTTGGACCGCTTCTAGGTTGGAGGCCATAGCTAGTAGGTTGGAGGCCATCGCTCTCGATTGGTGTTCTGTTGTGAAGGCAACGCCAACACGAAGCGCCAAGTCGCGTCCCTGTTTCCAATTTGTAGTGACCTCCAAGACCAAATCAGCCAATATGGGAGTGTTTTTTCCCGAATGCGTTTCGAAGGGTTCCCCAAAGTGACGTCAGGAGGTCTGGGGGCTCCGTGTTCGTTTTGTGTGGTCTCGTATCTGGGGGTCTCGCCGTGATCTTCTGGACCACCTTTGGCCTTTTTTTTTACATTAGTGTCATTAGTGTGTGTTTTTTCTTCAACATATTCTCTCAGATCCTTTTTGATTCCCAGACTTTTCGTTCTTTAGACAGTTCTTCTTTCCTCTCCCTTCCAGTTTCGCCCAGGAGCATGGGGAGCGCACTTGCCACTGATACAATCCCCGTGCTGGTCACAATGGCGGGGCGCCGCATGCGGTGCTGCTCCAACCTAGTAGCTTCTTGTTACTAAGAATGCTCCTAGCAGCGCTGCCAGGAGCCCCTAGTAGCTTCTTGTTAGTAACTTCCATTCCTCAGCCCTTTGCAGGTTGATGTGCACAATGCCAAGGCTCAGGAGACAAAGTGGATTTGTCAACAAGGTCTGTGTAGAGCAATGTAGAACATGAAACTACTACACGTTGCCTTGTGCGAACCCTAACCTTTCTGCGCTGCTAGCTACTTGTAAGCTACAGTACTAGCTACAGCTATTGAATGGACAGAAAGAATTGAGTCAAGCGAAAGGGAAGACATTTTCCGCCATTCTCCCAGGACATGTTCTATTTCTGCAACGTCGGCAGTGGAGGTGCTGCCACAAAGGTCATCGGCCGTTCTCAAACCCTGTCTGTGGAAGTTGGAATCACTACTGTGGCAAGCTCAGATCTCTCACAACTCTTTCCAATTAGGTTTTTGGCGCCTACCCCTTGGGCGCCTGCCCCTTTTACCACGTTTAAGAACTGGCGCTTGTTGCACGTTTCTGCGAGGTCTTGACGCTCATTGTGTACGAGTGTCCAGAACCGGTCTGTAGCCAAAGCCATGAAATCATAAACATATGTTCCTAGAAGGTTCGAAGGTTCTTTTTCGCACAGAACTGCTGTCAATTCCATCTTCTGTATCATGGTCATCGTCATCGCCATCACCATCAACTTCATCCTCATCACCCCCACCATCATCATGATCTTCTTCACCTGGTCATTTTTCTTTCTTTCTTTGCTCGGTACAAGTACTGCCCGCAGGTCAGCCAAGTACACGAGTCGCAGTCGAAACCAGTAAACAGGTTTGAATAGAAGAGACAACCACGAAGGAAGCCTCAAAGAAAGACGGATCGTGATCCGTGCGCAAAAGCCTTTTCACACCTAGACGCCTCAGGGCAACCAGGAGCGATCGGACGCTACTAGGGGCTCCTGGCCTTGCTACTAGGAGCCATCTCACTCATCTTTTCCTTGCTCAAACACTGGAGTCTTGCTTAGGTAGCTCAGCCCTGCTGCGCCTCCGAGTGGTTAATGCGAGATCAAACAGAACAGATTTAACATTTTTTGGTGGCATTTGCCTGATCTATTTTGTTTGAGCCTGGTATGCTCTCGTTGCGGCTGTTTTGGCTGTGGATCATGGGCCTGGTTCTTGCAGGTCTCACTTTGATCCGAATTTTGGCGAGCTTTGTTCTTCTATAAGCCTGAAAATGCACGTCTCGAGTCTGCAGAGCACTGAAATCCTTCAAGCTCAAAGTTCCAAGAAAACTCAAGTTCAAAGTTCCAAGATCTGAAAGCGAAAAGGTGCCTGACCGCCGAGCGCATAACAGTGCAAAGGTTGGCGATCTTGCTTTAGTTGAAAGTCAGGGACAGGTACTCACAGCAGGTACGTCTGGTTGATCAGGCCAGATATAGCACGCAACTTGGCCCTCTTCGTTGGATCACCGGTCAAGCTCGTGCGTGATCCCCCTGTGAAGAAGAACCATTAAAGAAGCCATCAGGCTACCCGTGAATCCAGGGTGTGCACACGCACACACACACACACACACATCATCACACATCATGCCATGATTCCCATCATTGGTCTTTGCTGCAAAAGCCCTGTTGCTACATTCTTGGACGCCAAGCGGACAAATACATTTCTAGCCTGCGCGCGCTCTTATACACTTCAGGTCTTCACACCTGAAACAGCCCGTTGCCTTGGAGCCCGGAGCCCTTGTGGAATGTGTGACGGAGCTACCACCTTAGTCATATAATCATATACTTCCCAGCAGCTTCGCTACTCCGACTGTTCAGGGCCTACCCCACCCCGCCCCCCAAAAATACACAACAAACACATTGTGTTCTCTGAGATGCCTCGAGATCCTCAGCGCACTGAGGTGCTTCGTATTCCCATGGAACGGCTTGCTGAACGATACAGTTCAGGCAAGGAAACTGGGCCTGTTTTCTTCTTTTTGTTTCATAATTTTTCATCCTGTTGTTCCTTTTCCCAAACAACAGATTGTATTTGGGAACGTTTGACCAGGCATTTTCCAGCAGTGGTTCAACTTGGATACAAAGAGCTGCTCCAAGACACTGGAAGCAGCTCATTCAAACATTTGGAAGGCTGAGTGCTGTATCTTAAGGATGGACCCTCGCATGCCTGCTGGCGATTTGCAGTCCTTGGTCACAAAGTTTGAGCAGGCAGTGCATGTCATGATGCGTGTGCGACGAGAAAGGTTTCGGATTCAAGTCTATTCGTGCCCAACCTGGGTCAAGGCATACGCAGATTCTGTCAACGATATCTACCAGTGATCCTGCGATATTTGAGTCGCACTGCTTGCAGCAGAGATTGCTACTAGGAGCAAAGGGCATCGCTACTAGGAGCAAGGGCCTTACTACTAGGAACAAGAAGATAGTAGAAACAATCAGTAACTAGAATTTAATGAGAATCAATTTCATTGCTTCGGACTGATAGGTGAAATTCGAATCGTGAACATGTAGGAGCAAAGGGCATCGCTACTAGGAGCAAAGGGCACCGCTACTAGGAACAAGGACGCTACTAGGGGCTCCTGGCCTTACTACTAGGAGCAAAGATGCTACTAGGAGCGTGAACATGTAGAAGATGTGCACAGTGTTTGCCAGGCCGAAGGTTTGCCTTTCCGTGATTGGCTCTTCCTTTGAGGCAGAAGTGACCGCTTAGCACATCTTCCCTCCACCAATTGGGAAGGAGTTCCATGACTTTTCTTTGGTTGTTAAGTGGGCTAGAAAAGAAAAGACAGTTTGATCAGGTTCGATGCTGCGTTCCCTTTGGGCTACCGGTCGCATTGACAGGTCCAGCGAGGCTCCAGGTCAACCTTTGGCATCTTTGTGGGTGAGGCGTGGAATGGGGACGATGTATTTTGTTTCGTTTGTTTCGTTTACGAGCCATGGCCTCCGACCAGCAATGGCCTCCAAAGTGTCCGTTTTGTGATGTGTGATTTCGTTTGTTTGTGCTGCTTCTTTCTCTTGTTTCATGTGCGATGCTTTGCCCTGTGCTGCTGACGCGGTGAAGTGGCAGGTGCGATCTTATTTGTGCGGTGACACCTATATAGTGGTAGGAATTTCTGGTGTGGTGAAGTGTTGCCTCGTGAAGTCTAATTTGTATTGCGGAGAGTGTGATGTGATGATTTTTGATGTTTTTGGTGTCACGCCCACTCGCGACCCGCAGCGGCGCGCGCGTTTGGTGGAAATCATATTTCGGTTGTTGGGGGGGGTGGGGGGGGGTTCAGTTACGTCGTTCAGTTACGTCGTTCACGGAACGTCGTCACGGAAACCAGCGGGTTCAGTTACGTTCTTACGTCGTCGTCGATACGCCGATAGCACCGCAGTTTTGGCAGCTCAATGCGTTCGTTGTCCCTTCGTTGTTGTGTGTCTTTGTGTGTTGTGATTCTTCTTCGTTTGACTCGTCGTGACTCGTCTTTTGTCTGAGTTGTGCGGAAAGACAGTTGTGCGCAAGATGCCACGGAAAGACTGACGTCCTTGTAACCTGAGTTGTGCGAAGAAAAGTCAGTTTGCAACTTTTTGGGGGTTGGACAAAAACGTACACTTGTAAATCCCCGTAGAATTTCAGATCAACGTCCAAAAAAAGGGGGGAATTGTGGAGCGAAATGAACATGCGAACATATGGGACAACATTGAAAACATTGTGAAGGACCATGGATGCATTTCAAATGACCTGAGTGCTGTGTGCACGACTACGCGGGTCACTCGGGGTCGTGTTACCATGTTTTTGAGTGTCGCGTGGTAATTTGCAATGTGGCCAAGTGCGGCTTGGTGATGGTGAAATACTAGTAGCGTCCTTGCTCCTAGTAGAAATGCCCTTTGTTACTAGTAGCTTCTTGTTCCTAGTAGTAAGGCCAGGAGCCCCTAGTACGTCTTTGCTCCTCGTAGCGATGCCCTTTGCTACTAGTATAGTGTGATGATTTGTGACAGGACATCTCTACTTTGCCTAACAGCATTGTGGTAGCTAGATTTTCGAGCAGAGGCCTCGCCCTGCAGGGTACCACACAGTGCCTGGCCCAAACACGACAACAGAAAACAAGCATTGACACACTATCACAGTATCACAACACCAAACATAACCACAACACACTACGCTTGACAATACACACTGGCAAACGCGACAACAGAGAGCAACAATGATGCACATAACGACAAATAGCCACAACAACACTTGACAATAGACACGGGCAAGCACGACAACAGACAATGAAGCCATAATGGCAACATGTGGCAGGGTGAAGAAGACAAAAAAACACAAAATACTTGACAACCGACAGGACATCAGGACAAACACAATGTCCAGGCAACAGACAATGACACGCACGCACGCCCGCACGCCCGCACGCACGCACAAATGTACCCACAAAACACCGTGGCCCCGGGATGCCCCGCGCCCCGCAGAGGCAAACTGTTTAAAAGGCAACTCTGCCCCCCTGCCAGGAGCCCCTAGTAGCGTCCTTGCTCCTAGTAATAAGGCCAGGAGCCCCTAGCTTCTTGTTCCTACTAGCAATGGCCTCCAACCTAGGAGCGATGGCCTCCAACTTTCGGCTATGCCTCACCTGGCCAGGTTCTTTTCAGTGCTACATAGATGTTCATATTGTTGCATGCCTGCTTGGGTGGTGATAGCTGGAAGTACAGTGACTTTGCAAGAAAGCTCACATGCGTTTCTCTACAACCCTCCGCTTGTTTTGGTACTTGTGTTCTAGATGTCTACTTGCCTGTACTGTCTTCATACAAAGCATTGCAGTTGTGAAGCTTCTCAACCCCTAAAGACTTCTCCACTTTCACCTTTTTTCATCATGAAAGAACTCGAAAACAATAGTGCCATACTAGTAGTAACAAAAAGCTATTAGTAACAAGTGCCACGCTAGTAGCAACAGGTGCCTTACTAGTAGTAACAAGAAGCTATTAGAAACAAGTGCCACGCTACTGTTGGAAGAATTTGTGCATTTCGGAGTGGTGGAACTGGTAGCTTCCTACTGTTGGTGAAGTGCCATGGTATCACTGGCAGTGAAGAGGCATGTCAGAGCCCTCGAAAACATCCACTGTTGGCGTGTTCTTGTTTGTTCCTTTGTTCCTTGTAGGAGGCGTCAGTTCCCAAAATTTTCCCCAAACCAGACCTGTTCAAATGCCTACAAGGTTTTCCTTTGTGTGCTCAGGATGTAAAGACGCAAGCGGGGCCCGACCTCAAGGCGAGGCGATCAGAAAACAAGGAACATCGGTACGAACTTCCCTTTAACGGGGGCCTTTTGTCTTTCCTTCCTGTTTTTTTCATTTGTCAGATGGCCTAGAACTGTAAGGATTAAGTGTTCAGAGTGGAACGGGAGGCTCTCATTGCCTCTCACAAGCAGTTGCTTGGCACAGAAGAGCTCAGACGGTGTCCAAAACTACTTGGTGTAAGATTGTGGTTCATCTCAGCACAGGCCTAGGGCATGGCAGTTGGAAGGTTGGCCAGCAACATGACCTTGTTTCATGATTGTGTTCATTGCTACTAGGTTGGAGGCTGTTCATTCTTGTTTTCGATTTCCCAAGGCAAGCTGCGTACGTTGATGCGCTTCACGAAGAACTTCGCCGCTTAAACACCCCGCATCAAAGCTGAATTTGTTTTGACTGTTGTTTGTGCACATCAAGAAGAAAAGTAATCACAGATAGTTTGGTCATGTATCATAAGCAAACAAGAAGCTACTAGAAGCAAAGGACATCGCTACTAGGAGCAAGGACGCTACTAGGGGCTCCTGGCATCGCTACCAGTAGCATTCTTATTGCTAGTAACAAGAAGCTAAACCTCTCGTTTGTTGGAACTTTGCACAGGTCCTACCGACCCTTGGCGGCGGGCATGGGGCAGTCACAGCCTTTGGCTACTTTTGACAGCAGAGCAGACAGTCATTCCTTGTTTGTAAGGTCGATCGGTCCAGGAGCAGAACGGAACTCAGCAAGAAAAGCTCAGATTCATTATATTCAAAGCAGTAAAGCTTGAGCTAGTATTATGCACTTCGAGTTGAGCAAGCTGAACCGACTGGTTTGGCATGTCGGGTTTGATGTTTTCGTTGTTTCAATTCATCATTTTGACTAAGCCTGGGTCCTTTGTGGTGCCCAAGGGCAGCATGGGAGCCGTGTACTAAGAGACTCGAAAGCTTAGTCCAACAAAAGCGCAAAAGGCCACAAAGGCAACACGTGAGGAATTCCAACGATTTCACAGAGAGAGGACATGAGAACAACACATCGAACACACTTGAAAACACATTGAACACTACTAGGAACAAGGACGCTACTAGGGGCAACACATTGAACACGTCTTGGGGGCATGATTTCGCCATTAGGGGCATGTATCCAGGCACCAGGCGCACCAGGTGGAGGCTATGCGGGTGGCGCCTTTGGTGGGCTGGGAGCCCAAGGATCGAACCGCAAAGCGAAGCAAACCGCGATGGGAAACCGAAGAAAGCATCCTTGCTCCTAGTAGCGATGCCAGGAGCCCCTAGTAGCTTCTTGTTCCTAGTAGCGATGCCAGGAGCCCCTAGTAGCGCCCTTGCTCCTAGAGACATGAAACGTTAGTTGTGGATTTGCAGATTTGCCTTTTTGCAGATGCGTACACCGGGGTTCACTGTGGTACACAGTGGTCCAGACACAACCAGCTGCTCTTCCGGCAGTGTGTGCAGTTTGTGAGCAAGTTCTGGGATTAAAAGTTCAAAACCAACTTTGGAGAGAAAAAGCTGGCTTCAAGAAATCAACATACAGATGAATGTATACATGTCTTGGATGAAAGCATTTTAGCAAGGACGCTACTAGTAGCTCCTGGCCTTACTACTAGTAGCAAATAGCTACTAGTAACAAGGGCATCGCTACTAGGAGCAAAGGGCATGACTACTAGTAGCTCCTGACTCACATCCAATGAATCAATTGGATGGCATGTTGCGAGCTGAGCCGAGGCCTGTCCCGTCATCCATGGTAGCTTGGCGCTGTAAGTACTGTAAGTAGGACACAGTTGTGACTTCACAAGTGAATACCAAGACACAAGTTGTGCTCTGAAGCATCACACAAACACCTTAGCCAAGATGACAGCGTGGAACGCCCCTGAATAGTTGAAACAGCGATGTTTGATCTGAGGCACCTCACTGAAGTGCTGAAGATCTGTATTGTAGCATCAAGTGCAGGGCATAGACCTGCCAGAAGAATCTGCCGAATGCTTTCACTTCAAAGGCTGGTCATCATGTCGCTCTTCCTGCTGGAAGTTGCACCACGCCCCATGTAGCCAACTGCAGATAGGGTTTTGCCCGGAAGACGAGCCACCAGCAATCGTTCATCGTTTCATTTCAAGTTGCAAGGCTGATGGACCAAAAATGGGAGCAAACTGGACAGTCGCCCTTTGAGTGCTATCAAAAGATCAAAAGGGTTCAATGTTTGCCTAGGTTAGAATCACGGGACTTATGTGCATCATACTTCTGCAAACGCATTAGTTTTTTTGCAAGCCTGTGCAGGTGCATCGTTTGTTGAACTGTGGCATGCTTTGTTGTCTCGAGTTCTTGTGCTTAAGTGGCCCAAACTACGAAAGAGGGTGCCCAAAGCGGCACGAGGAAGGATGTCGCGTTCAAGACGAACGGTCGTCCCAATCGACAAGGCTATTTTAGAGGCCCTTTCAAAAGTGGAAGATGTGGATGGGCTATCAGAAAAAGAGATTTGTGAGAACTTGGAAGTCATGTACGACATTTTGCAAGCTTGCGACCCAAAGCAGGTCACAAAGTACTTTACACAGGATCATCCAATACTCTTTGATGCGATCCTTACACTAGCGCGGATTGATTTGCTGCCCTTGGATGTGAATGTTCTTTCTGTCTTGGAATTTGTGAATGAGTACGGCTTTTTGAAATTGACCTTGGATCCCCATGACACCGTGAAAGTGAGCAACGAGAGGCTTCAAGTGACGTCTTTTGACTTCGCATCGGTGACCCTTCCGGAGCTTCCCTTCGGAGCTTCAAGGGAATTGACCTTGGCCTTCTACTTCACAGTGGATGATTTCGGCTCGGACGAAAGTGATGAAAAACGCTTTGGCTTTCAATTCAATTCACTTCGGGTGTACTTCTCGCCCGAGCAAGATGATGCTGGAATCGACATGTTCCGCAAAATCTACCTGGATTGGGGCAAAGAGAGCCAAGAACCACAGTGCTTCCAGATGAATTTCTCGTTTTTGGAAGGTGAGCGTGTCCGATGTATCTTGAACTTGTCTCAAGATGGCATCAGTTGTTTGCAGGTGTGTAAAGTGGGTGCCTTTGCTCACAGTGTTTATGTAATGCCCTTGGCGCTCACTCTCACAGACTTTTGTCATCCAACTCGCACGACCATTGCTCAGCTATCCATATTCATAGAGGCACCTCGCTGCAAGAAGCTTTTTTCACTGGAGAGCATAGCTCTGCTTCAGGGCACATATGCGGCACTTGACCAGGAAGTGGACATTTGCTGGCCGAAGCTGCAGAAAGTTTGCTTCCGGCTCATCGACCTCATGTCCCCCTTTATGAGACGTACGCGTCACAAGGATTCACATTTGGATCTTCGAGCTCGGGTCATTGCTGCTGTTTTGCACTTGCTTTTGGCACTCAGTGAGTCCGGTGTACGGACATACAGTCAGGATTCAATCACTTCGATCCTGAAACATATTGACCGTATCGTGCTGAGGACACAAGACATCTCTAAGGTGGTCCCCTCATTGCGATATTTCATTGACTTGCTGGAATACTACGTTGGTCTTGAAAACACCAACGTTTTTGAAGAGGAAAAGGCATGGCTCGTCCAGCTGATAGGGCACTGCTGTGCCGATGACGAACACCTTTGTGCTGAGCTCCTAAGGTACAAGGAGGGTTCGCTGCTGATCTCACTCTCCAGGATGTTGATGGATGATAGCAAAATTGCGTGGAAGGAAGTGCTGGTGCTGCGTGAAATGCCAAATCATGATCCTCGACACATCCATCCGATTTTGATGATGCAGCGATCTGCACTGTTTGCATTGTCTTGCTTGATGCAGCCGCAGCAGATTGCGGATCTGGTCATGCGCGCAATTGACTGCAAGCTTGAGCGCCGCAGTATTGGAACGTTGGACAAGGAAACCATCACGAACTTTTTTGCAGACCAAGAATCGAGGAAAACCTACACGATGTCCTTTGTGATCGTCATGAGAACAAACCAGTGCAGACGTTCTGATGAACCAGATTTCCAACCGCTGGTCTTGGGAGCAGAAACAAATTTGCCAAGTGTGTACATCAATTTACAGGACTTCAGGTTGTGGATTCAAGTCTCCACTGTTTCAGAGAAGCATGAGACTTTTGTTTGTCAGCAAGGCTTGGATTCGCTGCCCCCGGGACAAATTGTCGTTACCATCGTGGTGAACGGCTCATCGATCCAAGCATACTTGAATGAGCAGGCACAACTGCCGAATTCAAAGAAGTTGAGTGATGACCCGAAGACCCTTCAGCATGGCTCCATCTTCAGTGGAAAGATGCAACAGCTCATGCCCAAAGGTGAGGACGGAAAGTTTCCAGTCTTTGATGGTGTGCTTACACTTCTAAGAGCTAGTCAGCATCCAGCTGCCCCACATGAAGTTGACAACTCAATCCGTGCAGCACAGAAAGAGGCAAAGCATATTCTTACAAGGAAGAAAGAGCGAAATGAAGGAGTTGCGGATTCGGTCTTCAATGTGACTGAAGTCTCCTCGGTCTTGTTGCAGTTCATCAGACATCAATTCCATGATGATCCAGCCACTCGGCGTGAAAAGCGAAGGCTAGGAGAATTGGATCTCGTTGATCCAACCACAACTCTTTGGATCCTTTGCAATTGTGGACTTTGTGCTCAACTTCTGCCTGAGTCTCACCCCAAATTTGTGGGATTACTGAAGACGCCTTTGCAACGGGCAATTTTCTTGGCTGCTCTTGTGGCGGACAACTTTGAAAAGACTGAAGTGCATGAGCTGCAGGTTGGGTTCCCCCCGGACTATACCACTGAGGCGATTGCACGACCCAAACCGCCAGATCACTCTGTCCTCATTGCAGCTGCAGTTTTCATCAACCACTTGTTGCAATCACCACGCGGCCGCACAGTGATGAGCGAAGATACATCTGCGTTGTTGGTCGTGCGCTTGATTCCTTTGAGTGGAGTGCAATTGGATCTTTCAGGCTATGTGCAGAAGTCCTTTCGCACTCTTACGCCAAAGATTTGTGCACTGATGCTGCAAGCACGCCAGGATTCTGCCACAACGTCACTGGCTTTGGATGCACTCTTCAAAAAGAGCGTCAGCGAAGAGGGGATGATCTTCAAAGAAGATTTACAACATTTGCTACTGTCACAAGGGCTAACGGCCCTCATGAACATCATGCATGGCTCAGCAATAAGCCAAAAGAAGTCGAACACCCGCTTGCAGTCCTTGCAGATTGACGTCATGCACACAAATGAGGCCATGCGTGCTGCAGAACAAGCAAAGGCCCACGATATGGAAAGCATCCTTGCCATGCACCGAAGGCACTTGGAGAATTGCCAAAATGAGATGTCCAAAATTAAGACAGAAATGGAAGATCTGGAGCATCTTTCAGCCATCTGCCAGAAACTTCAACGTCAGCTCTTCCTGCAGCTGCATCACATCATGGACGAAATCATTCAGGGCTTGCCTTTGCGCCCGGCTGACTTGCGCTTACTCACTCAAATGGTAAACATTGCATCCGGTGTGCCTTACACATCTTTCTACCGCAGTAGCGAGCTCTATGCACAGAAGATGCTGGAAACTGAGCTCTCAGAAGGCATGCCTTGGGAAGTATGGCTCGAGTATTCTTATCCCGGAGCATCCAACTTCTCTGTAGCTGAAGTAATGAAGCTATTCCCCTTGAGACCTCGAATGAGAGGGCCTCGCAGCACAGTTCTTCTGAATGTCATGGAGGAGGCCAACCTGAGGGATGAGCGAAGCATTTTAGCTCCAAAGCTACGGAATGGAGCCTCCTCCAGCACCGAGCATGTCTTCGTCCACATCGTGGGATCCTCGGAGAAATTGCAGGCAGATGTCGAGGTGAGACTGTTGCCGGACTTCGACCCATCCCTCCGTCTTGCACAGGAGCATCTGGCTTTTGAAGGTCGAATCATTGAGTTTGTCATGGCAGTCTTGAAGAATAACGAGCTGCCACGAGATGCATATGCAAATGCTTGCGTATTGCTTGCATCGCAAGCAAATGATATGAGGGCAGCATCATGCATTCCACACCTGGCAACTCTTCTGGCAACATGCTGTCGGGATCCATGGGTTCTTCGTGTGATCTGTGGAGAAGTGCTTCAAAGCATTTTGTACCCAGACAAACATTTGGCGCCAATACTGTATCTCGCAGGAACAGCAGCTAGCACTCCTTTGGAGACTCGCTTGTCTGTGCTTCAGGTTTGCAGTTATGTGGTTCATCCCTCAATGACTCCAGAAGAAGGCTTCTTGCAATTCCTTGAGAATGTCTACCGACAACGCATAGAGCTTCCAAGAGACGATGAACTTTTGCGGCCGTCTCTAGGAGAAGAGCACAAGAGAGCATCCGCGGTGACCTCACTGATGAGCTCTTTGCACAAGCAGCTTCCTCGCTCTTTCCAAATTGCTTTCTTCAACTTGGCAGAAGCCATTTTGGCCAGGGATGCAGGAGAATGTGCGGACCTCATCAATGAGAACCAGTGGAATGATGGTGCTGTAGTATTTGCAGAACAGACTCCCGGCAAGTTTGCTTTTTGGAGAGAATTCTATTGGTTTCTCATGTATGGTCACCCAGACGTGCAAGATGCTGCAGTGCGTCTTTTGCTCATTCTGTTTTGGCAACAGAGTGTGAATCTCATTAGCTTGATTTGCAGCACGCAAGATTCGGGACAACTTTCTGGTGAATATTGGTTGGTTGTGCCGCTGATGCGGCTTCTGGGACACAAGAACGATGATGTTGTGAAGGACATTCTTACTCTTTTTACACCTCTAGCCCAAAGTCAAAGCGAAAATGACGATGACGATCTTGACGAAGCTTCAGAGGATAAATTGTTGAGACTTGCCAAGACGATGATCTCAGAAGCCAATCGATCCGAGATCTTGAAAAAGGCCATGGTGCAAGTCAGCCCTCGCTTCATCGTCCGAGCCATGGATTGGCCATGTGATGTACGGGATTTTGTCCTGCAAATCGTGTTGACACGGTCAGTGATGCAAGAGTTGATCGTTTCTCCTGAACTAAACACCGAGTTTTGGGATGTGATTATCCACCTTTTGCGAGAGTGCGGTTTGGCCGGACAAGCTTGGGTCTCGACCACCTTGAAGGAGCTTGCCCGAATTGCAGAAAAGGTTGTAGCTTCATCCAGTGATCTACGAATGGTTCGGAGCATTTGCTCACCAAAGGTCATTGCACCATTGGTCTCCCATATCGCTGCCGGGACTGTCCTGTCGGATTCTGACGTCGCCAAGGAGATGTCGCACGCATTGGCGGAAGTGCCAGATTCTTTGCTGGCGTTGCTAGTTTTGCTTCCTGAAAAGGAGCAGATTAAGCTGTTGTATGGCACTCTCAAAGACTTGCTGAACATTGATATCCAAGAAGTGGATGAACGCTTTCAGCCGGGGCACAACAAGAGGACAAATGATGCTGTGAAGACATGGGTCGGACGCTGTATTCTCATTTTTTTGTCGGCTGCGTTACTGAGTGATGTGGAACGTCAGTATCCTACCGATTGCCCAGCCGAAGAGACATCTGATGGTTCCATGATTACTCATCCACTTCCCATCATGGTACCTGGTGCACAGCAAATCAACATCACGTGTGTGAAGAAGAAAGCAATGACCGTGGACATTTTGGTCTCAAAGGACAGTGCCGAAGCATCCATGGATCCGAAGCGTGCAGATGTGGTCATCCCAACCAAAACTTTGCCATATTCTGTGCAGATCTCTTTCGAAACAGAGTTTGCAGTCATCACTCCTGGAAAGGCATGGTGCTGCTTCGACAAATCCATGAGCCGTGGTGAAAACCGTGAAGAGTTCAAGATGCGCATTGAACCGCAGTTCATGTTTGGCACGGTGAAGAGAGAGGCAGTGGATGATTTCTTTGCGACGGGGCATTTCAAGCGGCTCCTTGATACTTTGTTGCCCTCACCACCCGATGATCCGAATAGTGTGAGAGGCGTCCCGCTGGGAGTGATCCAGTCCATCAACTGGGTTTTCAGTGTGCTGGCCTTTGAATTGGAATCATCGCTGAAAGGACTTCGCCATGCGCCACTAAAGTCCTTGAATCCTGAATTCTGTCCCATTTTGCAGATGCTGCGAGTGGTTCGGACTGTGGTTTATCGGGTAGTGGCAGCAAGGCCTCATGAAGAGGACTATGAGGCATTGCAAGTGCAAATGGCAGCAGCTGAAAATACGATCTACGTTTTCTCACGGGTCCCAGCTTTCAAGGAAGCAATTTTAGGTGGTCCAAAGTGGACAAACCTACCACTTCTTTTAGACATGATGAAAAGCAGGCTTGAACCAAAGTGGGTCTCTACCATGGCCAAGGTGCTGGCTGCTATTATCAACCGGAAGCCTGAAAGCATCAAGTCACCATTCGAGGCACTTCTCATTTATTTGGATTTGGCCATGAGCCAAAGATCTGGGGATGTGGATGCTAAAGCAGATGCTGTGGATTCTCGAGTGTTGACGCCTGTGGTCACCGTCTATGCCGACCTCTTGGAAGCTGGTTGGACTCCCACCTACACTGAGATGGATCGCAGACCTAAACATGGCGTCCCTTCACTGCGAGATGAGCGCAACGCTGCTGCGAAAAGCTCAGATCTCTGCCGATTTGCCTTACTTTTGGTCAATTCATCGGATCCTTTGCTGCGCGCTGCAGCATAGCCAGCATAGTGAGTGACTCCAACCTTTTTTGTTGAATGCTTGTCACCGTGGTTTAGTCCTGAAGTGTTGACATTTTGTTTTGCTGACTTACTCACTTCGATCTTGGAGTTGGTTGAAGAAAAGTCAACAAAAACAAACAAACGGACACGGCACCCCTTGAAGCATGGGGCATCGCTACTAGGGGCTCCTGGCCTTACTACTAGGAGCAATGTTCGCTACTAGGGGCTCCTGGCATCGCTACAAACGGAGCGATTGGACGCTACTAGGGGCTCCTGGCCGTACTACTAGTAACAAGAAACTTCTAGGAACAAGTGCATCGCTTCTAGTAACAAGTGCCTTACTAGTAGTAACAAGGACGCTAGTAGTAACAAGAGGACGCTCTTCTTTTCCTGAGGCATGTATTCGAAGCATTCGAGTTCTGGGTGCGCGTTTGGCTCGTCGGCAACCGCTTCTTCATTTGACTCGCTTTGCGAACATCTGCATGCTGCCACCGGATCCCAAAACACAAAAGCCATATCAAGGGCTCCCGCCTCAAGGCTTGTCTTTGGCCTTGCCACGAAAGTCCTTTCACATGCCACCCTTCGCTTACTCCATGTGGCTCTTTTTGCAAGATGATGTGGTCAGAAGTGAGTCTGGCATCCGGATTTTCCACGTGATGAGCCATGCGACACCTGCAAGCACAGTCCCACAAGTTCAGCTTTATGTCTTGCCATCTGAATCAAGAGAACTTGGACAATGCAGGCTGGAGGTATGCCTGAGTGAAATGAAGTTTGCTCCCAAAGAAGGAAAGGGATTTATACGACGCCACTCTTGGGCTCATGTTGCGCTGATGCTCGGCCGGCGAAAAATCATTCTTTTCTTGAATGGTGAAGAAATTATGGAAAAGGAGACTGAGGGCATGCAGCAGTTTTCGCATTTGTCTGGGCCGCAACTTGGCAGCTGCTACCTTGGGGTGCCACCTCCGGATTTAGTACCCTACCATCCCATGCATTGGTTTTTTCCTGGATATATCTTCGACTTGGCCTACCACGACGAAGGCCTTACAGCTTCCCAGGTTCAAACTCTGCACACTGGGGGTCGGCCAGCACTTCCAGAGAATGTGAGTCTTTTTGAAACCGAAGAAGACACGGAATCATGCTGCATTTTTCCTTACATGCACTTCAAGCCAACTCCATTAAGCTGGTTGGTCACAAGCGACGTCTGGGAAAGATTGGAAGGCCCAATTTTGGGACTCTTGGCTTCAAAGGATCACTTGACAAAGGATGACGAGGCGGATGGGTGTGGGTTGGAATGATGGATGTGCTTGTTCATCCTAATAGCAAACTAAAGTAAAGACCTTTGTCCTTTTCTTTCTTTGTTTCTAGCGATGGCCTCCAGCCTAGTAGTGTAAGGCCATACATGTAAGGCGCTTTGAATGGCGCTCTTTTTGTGTCGGTCGAGGCCGATGAGAGCTTCCAACTTGAGGCTATACAGACCTTGCGCCGGGCTGCCAGCAACTTGCTCGCAGCCTGTTTCGATGTGGATGAGCTCTCAAGCGTACGACTTCGCCAGTGGGCCGTGAATTTTGCACAGGCGAAGAGACAAAGACATAGACTGACTCAAGAGTTCTAGGTTGGAGGCCATCGCTAGTAGGTTGAAACGAGTCAAAGTGCACGATTTTCATACTTTCTTTTTCAGCGACGAGAGGTGAAGCTTCAAGCACCCCCAGTGATCAAGCTCCACTTGAACGACGAGAGTTTCGCTTTTGAGTTCAAGCTGCGCTTCCGACAGTACAGCAACTTGGAAGAGGGAGCTAAGCTGCAAACCATCATGGCCAACGTGAATGAGAAACGTACGGGAGGGGCCTCGGATGCCAGAGACCAGTTTCGCATTTGCCTTGAAAGCTTGTCAAGTACAACTGCAGATCCTGAGAAGGATGGTATGTACACAGGAGAAGATTCCAAAAACTGCTGGTTTTTGACATTTATCTACTTCCAAAATGTCACACGATTGAAACTTCCTCCGCAGCGGGGTCGTGATGGCTGGCTTCATTGCACCATCGGATATGTCGATGGCAAGACAGAGCTCGCTGCGTCCTGGGACGGGGCAAAGCCACGGATTGTCGTGGAGAGCTATACAAAAGACATGTTTCGAACTGAAGCATACCTAGGATGCGAGGTACAAGTCAACGGAAATGTGAAAAAGATTTGCAACCAACTCTTATGTGACCTGGCCTATGTTCGAGTTTGGGACAACTATGAGCCGGCAGACAAGCTGAACGAAGAATTTGCTGATGCGGGAGCCCCAAATGCCATGCTCGTGGCTGGGAATCAGGCAGTTTTCGTGTGCCTCTTGCCAATTATTCACGAAGCCCATGGCTACATTCTTGATGCTGTCCCAATGTCCACAGATACTGGTCCAACAGCCAATATTCACAATACACAGAAGTCCGGTCCCAATACGCAAGTCTTTCCAACTGTAAGGGCTCGATATGACACACTACGACAGTGGCCTGGAGCTTTATTCTGTTCTCAGGATTATGTTCCGATGTACACCGCACCACGTGCCATCTCAGATGGACTTGTGCAACAGGATGGTTTACTGCCTCACAGTTGTGCTGTTCTTCGTGCTCACGGCTCCCCATCGCTGGCTCTCCCGGTTGGGACAGGCAATTGGCCCTGCACGCAATCATGTGTGCCCGAGCGTGGTGCATACCAATTGCAGTGGCTCATGCATCATCCCTCTTCTGTGAATGGTCGTATCAAGAGAGAGCAATGTGCGATTGGCTTGGAGGTGGTTCTGACAGACAAGGAGGATACCTTGGAGGTGTACCGCATCAACTGTTCCAGCCTGGAAGTTTTTGTAGATTCAAGGATGGTGCAACAAACGCCGGACAAACGCTTGGAGAACTTGGAAGAAGTGAGGGCCGCTGCTAAGGTCAGCCTTTCTCGACGAGGCTGCATCTTGCGCATGCAACTACTTTTTGTTGAATCAGCGCTATGGGTGTCCGTCTTTTTCAATGACATGTTGGTGGATTCCTGTTGTTTGATTCTCCCAACTTCTATTTCAGCCATTGTCCCATTCGTGCACATGGGCTCGTCTGGCCATGTGTTCCAATCCCTACCGAGCCTTTTTGCCACCGTCGCTTGTGAGCACTTGAAGTTTCAACTACCCGGGAAGAAGGAGCGCTTCACTGTACGATCAGTGCCACAGATTTCATGGCCTAGCTTTGAGCAAGGCGTTACACCACCAGCCGTGTCGACCTCGAATTCGATCTACGCAGCCTATTGCAATTTCAGAGATTTTGAGGCTGAAGTGCTGCCGCATCGATCCAATGATCTTGTTCTGCAACGAATCAACTTACCCTTGGCAGATCCTCGTGCTGACAAGACTCGAGCCTTGCTTGAAGCCATTCTTGAAGGCGTGAACACGGCCATTTCGCCATTGCATTCCTTTCCCACTTCCTTTTTGTAAGATGAAGCTTTCTAGACTAGCTTTTAAGTGTCTACAAAGCAAATTGAATAACAAAAAGAGTCTAAATGGTACAGTAATGGCTTCTTCCTGAATTTGTTCATTTGTACCAGGTGTGTTGGAGAAGGATTCTGAGATTCGCTTTCCGGATGACATGCCTTTGCTGTGTGCCATGTGCTCCTCAGAGCAGATCTGGCGCTTTGTCGCACGGAAGCGGAAGGACTCAGAGCTTTACAAGGCGAGAAGCAAAGTGTGGAAGACAAAGTATGGGGAGTTTTTTGCTAATAAATTTGGGTATCTAATAGCAATGGCCTCCAACTAAGAGCGATCCCAGAAACTGTGAGAAAAGACCCAGACTGGACGAAAGAAAAGATCAGAAAGCAAGTTTCTTGTTTGCGACGAATAGGAACTCAGTTCTCCAGGCCATTGTCAGCCTCTTGGGCAGCCGGGCAAGCTTCGCCGGTTTGGCCGAAACCACTCGACGGAGGCGCTGTGCTTTGCAAGCAATTGGGACTTTGCTCCAATTGCCTCATACCTATGAGGTGCGAAGAAACGATACAAGGAACAAGTGCATCGCTAGTAGTAACAAGTGCCTTACTAGTAGTAACAAGGTTCGCTACTAGTAGCAAAGGGCATCGCTTCGAGGAACAAGTGCCTTACTAGTAGTAACAAGAAGCTATTAGAAACAAGTGCATCGCTTCTAGGAACAAGAATGAAAGTACGTTCGCCAGAAACAGTTGTTTGGTCCGGGCCCAAACGCCAAACACCTGTTTTTCATCTCTTTATGAGCATTCTCGATGTGACAAGATTGGGTTAATATATTTAAAGATCATAGATCTGAAGTCTCCCATCAGTGGCACACAGTACCAGCAGATGCAATAGATACAGCAGCCAGAACAGCCATGTCTTCACACAGTATCAGCAGAAAAGTACGGTCTTTTTGCACCTTTGCTCCTTACACCTGCCACAGTCATGTGGTTGTGGTGGCAGCGCTCTGGCCGTGCTTTGTGTGAGAACCACCTCCAAGCAGAGCAAATCCGAGTCCAGAGATCAACCTGTTCTGAACTTCCTGTGCACCCACGAAAGCACCCATTTGCACACTACAAATGTCACTACAAAGGTCACAAGGGATCTTGGCACGTCAGGAAATAAGAACTATCAACAAACAGAGATAATAACAGCAAACAAAATAGTCCTCAGTAGGTCCCGTAGTCCGTTGCGTCCCCGGTTCCCTTTCCTGGTTCGCTGACCCTCATGGTCCGATAATACTTGCACAGATATTAGTTTGCTATTCCTCTCTGCCTAGCCAGGATTATTCTCTCAATGCTCAATGGTTGGTAGAAACTGTATTTGATTCTGCCCAACCCGTGACGCTTGAAGTGGAAGATATGCTCTTCGAAAAGCGGCCAACTCTATACCAATGTGTGAAAAGTTGCATTTGCTTGAAGAGACATCGCTAGTAGGTTGGAGGCCATCGCTACTAGGGTGGAGGACATCGCTAGTAGGTTGGAGGCCATTGCTATTGAATGTCGAACGCAAGTGCTGGACCTCTCCTCTTTCAGACTCGCCTTTCGACATTGGAAGCTGAGGGCTTGAATTTATCATTCACATCCTTGTGCTTCCGGCGTATTGCACCAGTATGGTGTGTGGTGGGTTTGCACGTTTTGTGAAAAACAAACATTTCTTTCGGTACATGGTACATACTTTCCTGCAGTACCCATTGTGGAAGGGCTTGGGAAGGTGCACGAAACTGGTTCCGCCTCGCTATTCGCGTGGACTAAACAAAAAATCCCGGCAAGAGACCCCAAACAGTGTGTGAGGTCTGTAAGCAGAAAGTCTAGCGATCTAGACGCATTGGGGTCCAGAGAGGTGATGGTGGTGATGAAGGTGGGGATCGTGGTGATGGTGGCGGTGGTGGTGAGCGAGTGATTGTGAGAGTGAGTGAGAGTGAGAGTGAGAGTGAGAGGGAGAGGGAGAGGGAGAGGGAGAGGGAGAGGGAGAGGGAGAGGGAGAGGGAGAGGGAGAGGGAGAGTGAGAGTGAGTGTGAGTGTGAGTGTGAGTGTGAGTGAGTGTGAGTGAGAGTGAAGGTGGGTGTGAGTGAGTGTGAGTGTGAGTGTGGATGTGAACGTGAGTGTGTGAATGTGAGTGTGAGTGTGAGCGTGTGTGAGTGAGTGGGAGTGAGGGTGAGGGTGAGAGTGAGAGTGAGAGTGAGAGAGTGAGAGAGTGAGCATCTGAGAGCACAAAGTGCTGCGCCTGCCACGAAATCTGCACTGCGGACCACCATGTGCGAAAATGCGCGCGGCACCACAACGAGAGTGCAGTCGCTAGAAGCACCCGCCCGCGGCACCCAGACTTTGTGAGCCTGCGCAGTCGAAATGCACTTCGAGGGCTTCGAGAGGCATGAATGTACTGTAAATAGCAGCGAATTAGCCGGACACGGCCGCGCGGCACACCGATCTAAGCACAGCTGCTTTTCTACTACTGTAAGAACCCCTAGTGTGTCCACACTGTTTGGGAAACAACACTGAAAACGCAACACTGTTGCAGAGAAAACAGAGAGCTTTCGCAAATGAATCAATCCCAGCCCCGGCAAACAGAGGACGCCGTGGAGGTGAAAGAACATCGCCTCGGGGATTTTCTCTTTTTTAAGAACATGGACTCAACATCAGTTTCGTGCCAATTTGGTGACTTGAGCATAGATTAGGTGGTTTGTGTAGCAAGAGTTCGAAAAGCGACAGCATTTCCAGACGCCAAAAACGCTGTCCCTTTTGGTCCCAGGCCTTGTTTGAGATGGGAATCCTGCAACTGATGGCGACAGAGATTTCTGAAGACTTGGCGGGTCTGAAGGACAACTTCTCAGATGCCAGCGGCCTGACCATTCGCTTGCAAACCCGAGTGCTACGATTTGAGGGTTGGAAAAATCGGCTCAGAGCTGCGCAGAATGCCTATGCACTTGCTTCCAGCACAGCTCATTTGCTGTCTCCCATAGAGGCTCCAAGTTTTATCGAACAGTTTAGCAAGGCACGGGAAGCCATTGGCACCGAAAGTCAGGAGCGACAAGAAGTCACCAATGTATTGCAAGAACTGGAAGATGCCATCGCGACAGATTTGAGCAAGTTTACGGAAGCTTTGCAAACCTTTGCAAGCGGGGCAAACTCAAAATCACAGAGCTTGATTTCAAGCCAACCAAGCGGAGCTGATCACAGTAGAACTATTCTTGGTGTGTTGAATACTCTTTGTCATATGTTGGGACATGATGAATATCCAACTCGTTCTGCAGAAAGTGAACATCAAGCTCATCGGTTGAAGATGCACGCCTCCAGCAACATCTACGAATGTCACGTTCCTGATACTTCTAGCAACGTCATAACCTTCGACAATTTGCCCATTGGAAACGGCTCAGTGGAAATCTTGGAAGAAGGTCATCGTCGAGGTCTCTGGTCTCGCTTGACAGAAGATCCTGCGAGTTTCAAGGTTCTCGTCCATTCTGACACCTTCCAGTGGCGTTTTAAATATGAATCGGAAGAAGTCATGAACGCAGTGCATGATGAAGATGCAGCTGATCGAGTCAATCATGGATATCGCTTTGTCGTTCGTCCTGTGTGGGACACAGATGACAGAGACACCATCATGGCCAGGCGTGCAGCTGTGCTGGACAAACCAGGCTTTGTGGAACTGCTCACCACCTTACATTCACAATCAAAAGGATTAGGTCCAAGTGGTGCATCAGTTCAAGCAGAAGTTGATGTGAAAATCGTGATGCTTTTGTCCTTTCTAGCACAGCGGGGCAGTGAAGCTCCTCATCCTGCCATCATTGCGGACTCCAAGGTGGAACGGGTGATTTTCCAAGTCATGTTTCAGCTCCTACAAAAGAGGCCAAGCATTGAAGAGCAAGCAGGTGTTGGTGGCCAAAGGCGTTCACCTTTGGACCGAACCCACATTGCTGTAGCTCGATTCTATCATGGCATCTCATCGAGTGAGGAAGGGCGCCAGCATTTTGCCAACCACCAGGATGCCATCATGAGAATTGTAGACATTGCCAACAACAATACGCAAGGTGCTATAAAGCCCGACTGTGCTCCACCTTCGCACGAAGCATTATGCTATGATGGAAATTACATTATCCGATGCTTGACAAACTTCTCGAACAAGCCGTCCAAGTGGGCATTGACCAAGTCCTTGAATTTGTTGCGGCCAAAACAGCACACAGGATGGATGTGCGAATTTGCAAGGGGTGAAGTGGTTTGGAGTCTCTCGCTTCACATCTTTCTGATGGATGAACATCGTGGAGACATGCCGGGGATGATCTTCTACAAAGGGACCTCCTTCTCGGAAGTGCAGCTGGCAGTGGGCGTCTCTCATGCTGTGGCCGTTGCAACTGAGAGCAGGGTGATCCCTGGCTGCCACCCCATTGTCATCCAATACACCCACGATGGCAGGTTGAAACGCCTGGTGATCCCCAACAAGTTTCTGGAAATCTATCGCTGGGCTCACTTGGTGGTTGCAGTGGAAAGCGGCGGTCTGACTGTCATCATGAATGGTGAAATCATCTTCACACATACATTGCCATGCGAGCTTATGGTGAACTTTCAAGCGGGTCATCAAGACACTTTTCTTGGAGCACCACCATGGGAATATGGACGAGCGACAACTGTGAGTGCGTGGGTGTTTCATTTGATGCTCATAGCTGGCACAGCCTTGGAACCACAAGAAGCACGGAAGACCAAACGTCAAGATGAACAGAAGGCATGGATTGACAATGGCACTGATATGAAGCATTTTGACTATTCTCGCTTGGGACAGCCTGGAATCGATGATCTTCCTGATCCTGTTCATTTGCCAGGCGTTCCGGTGCAGATCTTTGACCCTCGGTTGAAAGTGGCATCAGAGGAAGGGATTGAAGTGCTATGTGATTTGCTTGAAGATCCTTTGGAATCGCAAAAGCAAGCAGCAGGCCAGGCCTTGCGCAATCTAGCAGATCCTGCTGTGGTGACTAACATGAAGCGGGTGGTGAGTGTACTTTTGCGCGAGTCTGAAGAAGACGGCAAGTCCAAAATGCAGAATGTCTACAAGGTGATGCTAGAAGCACGAGAAGCTGCAACCTTTGAAGCAGTTGCAGAGTTGGCCACAAATCTACTTACTTGGGTTCCACCACCTGGAGAAAGCGGTATTGACAAGATTGCTCGCCTTGAACTCATCAAACACATTGTGAAGCAGCATCCTGATGCAGCAGTCACTGAAGCCCGAGCACCAATTGTGGTGCATCAACTGCTCATGCTGATTCACTTTCCAGAGAATGTGAAGTGCCTTGCGGATCCATCTGTGCAGGCAATGAACACGTTCTTCCGCTTCTTAACGTTGGGATTCACCACAGTCACCCGCACGCAAGATCTTTTGATCAAGCTCTTGGCAGGTCCTTTACCGGAGGTGCGTCAGCAATGGGCCGAGGAAATCTGCCAAGGAGAGAAATTCCAACGTTTCATGCAGCAGCTGATCAGGCGGAAAGACGACCGTCGAATCAGCAGTCAATATCGTGTCCTCTTGAACTTTGTTTTGCAACAATGCAATCAGCGTCGTTTGATGGGAACCTTGTGCGCCATCCGTGATGACGACTTGTCCAATGACGAGCTCTTCTTGGTTTCGAAAGTCTTGTACAGCTGTCTGTCTACAGTGCCTACCTTTGTGTCCACTAAGGCCATCCAAGCACCAAAACCCTTGAAGAAAGCACGTGCCTCGGATGGCTTAGGACAAATCATGAAGCTACGGGTGCCCGGAGCACCCAGCATGATCGTCCGTGCCATCCCACAAGTTGGGCGTCAGATCGGAGAAGATGCCAAGAGTGTCTTGGGTCAAACTGCCATGATCGAATGGAATGAAGAGCCAACCATTGTAGATCCCAATGAGATCATCATTTGGCTGGCCAAGACGGAATCTTCCTTGCAGCAACCAATCCACAAGCGAGAGGGAAGTTGCAAAATGATCCTGGCGCACACGCGGCCCTTAAGGATGGAGCTGGCTGAATCGGAAGCTCCGAAAGCACAGGACTCGGCATACTTCAAGGATAGATATCGAAATGCTACGACTGAGCCCGTAGATGTCTTCCAGCTCGACTTCCATGACACGATCTACTATCAGTTGCAATTCATGAGCGGCAAGCAACTCGATGCCTACTTGGAGAAGGATGACATTGAAATGGTGGCTGATGAGCCTCCTCGAGTTGTCTTGCAGGGCTTGACAGAAGGTATGGTGTCACAGGACACCTCAGAAGATAAATGCAAAGTCAACACAAGCTACGCGTTTGAAAAGACTGCAGGTCGATCTGAAAGCATCATCGAGTATATTCTTCGCTTGGTGGAGGGCATTGAGTCACGCCTGAAGAGAGAGTTGGAGAGCGACAAAGACAAGACGGCCAAGGCGGATGAAGATGCTGAGCATGACAGTGAGAAGTCAGAGGTCTTGGCAAAAGAAGATCCCACTGGCATCTTGGAATTCATGAATCGCTTGCTGAAATGGACGCGCATAGCAAAGGCGACCTCCAGGAATTTAGATGCTTTAGGAGATGGTCAAGTTGCTGCGGGTGGTCAGGATATTGATGCAGCAGCTACAAAGAACGATGAGGATCGAACCAATGTGATCGCCAGCATGAGCTACATTCGACTGAATGATCAGCTTCGACCCATTCAGCGCATTTTAGCTTTGGCTGTTTTGGCTGTTGCCAGTAAACAGCCTCACAAGCTGACAGAAAGCATCAACCGAATCCTCAACTTGGTTGACAGCTTGGACCCGACGGTCGCACAATCGATGTGTGACTCCATGCTTCAACTCTTGTCGATTCCACGAAACATCGCCAAGTTTAGTCGTGCAAATGTGGAGAAAGTCTTGTCCAGCATGACTCAGGCCTTCTTTTCACCGGAAAAGGCGGAGGCATCGCTTCTGTCGTTTTCCAACATCTTGACCAAGTGGCTGAAACCCGATGCCAAAGACATTGCGGAATCCAAGGACTTTGCGTCCAGTCGAATCATCACTCCTTTGTTGGCAATCCTGCAGAAGCCAGAAACTTCGCAGGAGCAGCGAGCCTTCATCTTCAATGTGATCCGTCAAGGTATGCGATATGAAATCATTTCCGCGGTCTCCTTCACTTCAGCTTCTTCGTCTTCAACGTCGTCGTCAGGACGGAGCAAGAGCAAAGGTGCCCAACAACTCTTGCAAGTGTTGCGGCCCTTGGAACGGTCAGTGGATCGCTTGAGCTCATTGGAAAACTATCATGAACTCTTTCGAGATTTGTCCGTGGCATTTTCATCTGCATCGGTTTTGAAGAAAGTGTGCTTAGTCACCACTACAAAGGCTCACGCGATGCTCATCCTTGAAGATGTGGTGCCCAAGCTCATGCGCGTTATAGGGGAGATCAAGGACTTCTTGCCACGCTTTAAAGATGCAACCACCTTTCAACTTGATATACCCTCGATTTGCATCGACTCCCAAACGCGAAAAGTCATTTCCAACAAGTACAACCTTCTGCCTTATGTTTTCAATGCCCGGCTTTTTCGAGAGCTGTGTGGAGCCATCTCGAATGTTGGTCAGTGCTTGTCCAATTTGCAGTCGGACCTGCTGGAAAACACCAATTGCGTTCCCATTTTGCAACTGTTGGCTTATGACCTGGGCGACGGATTGCGAGACTTGTACAACATGTTGAAAGACGTTGATGTAGATATTGGAACAACAAACATGTCCCTGTTGGAAAATGTGGACACAGACATGACCTTTCTCATCGATGCTATGGCGCACATTGTCCATGTTTGCAACCGGAAGATGCATGCACGGGTGGTGGAAGTCATGTACACATTGCTGCATTCACGAGGACCACAGATGCCTAGACTTGAATGCAAGAAGCAGGATGTGCTCAAAGCCACTCAGGACTACCGTATTGTAAGTCACATTTTGGAGAACAAAGATGAAGGAGGTCAAAGAGGTCAAAGCCAGACGGTCTTCTTGGAGTCTCGAAGTGAGCGTGCTTTTACCTTTTCCTTGTGGGCCAAAACGGACAAGGATGTGAAGGTGGATTTGCGCATTTCCTTTGATTGCTTTTCAACATCCATGAGTCAAGCTGAACTTGCAAAGGCAGTCAAGAACGGTGAAGATAAGTTGCCCATCGAAGCGTCCTTGAAATTGCTACGGAGACAGGGTGATATGGCCTTCCATGTGAGATACAGTGAAGAGAGAAGCACGGATGACTACAAATACCGGAGGATGAGAATCTGGGACTGGCGAGACAAGAATGATCAGACAATCAAGAACATCCTGAATCACAAGGGTTGGGCATATTTTGCCTTTACTTTGAACATCTCTGAGCAGAAGATTCGGGGAGAGATGAAGAAGTCGCAAGATCCGACCACTCGTCTTCAGATGAAGTTCCACGACACGAAAGCAACTGCTGATTTGAGAATTTTGTGTTGCATCCGGCAATCGAAGCCCCTTCAGACAATTCGCTTGGAAATGACCAAGGCTGATGAACAATACGATGTTGTGCAGGAGCTGGGTGATGACGAGTATTCCCAGAGCAATGTAAATCGCAGCGATGTTGGTCAAACTGGAGTTACCACCACTGGCCTAACATCTCAATCAAGTGCCATGCAAAGTGCCATGCAAATGCCAAGCATGAAATCAAGCGCTTTGACTTCTGAGGATGGAGATGTTTCGCATGTGGGCAAGGGTGCCAGTGCTAGTCAATTCATGGGCAGGAGCGAGGGGAAAAGCTCATTTTTCAGTTCAGGGTCCAATGCCAACCTTGAGTCGAGAAGTGAGTTTGAGAAGAAGGAAGGGAAGGACGGAAAGGATGGAAAGGACTCCAAGGCAAATCCCTTCGATGATCCTCTTCATGCTTTTGAAAAGACCCAGCTCGAGAACTTCATGGCTGTTCTACTGCCCTTTGAAGTTCATGAGGGTGCTGTGCATGGCTTATTGCAGATTGCACCTTCGGATTACTCCCCAGAGCAAAGGGCACAAGTCATGAGCTCAATCACCATGCCTGATGTCTTCTTACAGCACAATCTGATTCCGCTCTTGGTTCCCATGTGTAGTGGACACGCGTCCGAGCAACTCACGAGATGGGCCTGCAACACTCTGTATCTCATGCTCATGGCCTTTGCCCGTCCTGTGCCTGCTGGTTTGACGGAAGAAGTAGAAGCGCTGAAAGCTCATCGAAATTTCGATGGCTTGCTACAGCGCTTTTTACACACCTGCCAACTTGGAAACCCAAGCGACAATTTGGGTGGGGTGCGTGTCTTGATGGATGTCTTTTGGAAGCTTTTCACTCGTCGCAGGCGCTTCATTCCAGCGGCCGAATATTTTCAGTCCCTGGATGATGCCAATATCAAAGCTGACAACTATTATCACGTTCCATTCTTGGCCTCGGTGGTGCATGTCTTGACCGTCCTTTGTATTGGCCGAGAGAATCGCGCTGTCCGGGTCACTCAGGACTTCATCGCCAAGGAGCTCATGGTCACCAATGAGGCGGCAGCATCTCGACGACGTCCAGAACCTGAGAACCATGAGAACTACTGGGCAACACATGCCATCACCACACAAAGTAGTGGCATGGCAGAAAAGACACCAGCTGCTTCGAAAAGGAAGACCTTGCAGCAACTTTTTCAGGAAAAGGATCGCTTTGTCCTCTTGAGCATTGGTACATCAGTCTTTTTTGATCCACATGATCCTGATCTTGAGTCTAGTGAAGGAGTGAAATTTCCGCGAGTGCTTTGGAACCAGGAGAGGGTTCAGCCTCCCCGATATGCTGGCGGTCAGCACAGCGATGATGTCACACAGCGTGTGGGAGACAAGGTCTCGCTTGAGCGATTTTTGTACTTTGCTTTGATCAATTTATTGGCACACTTGTGTGCCGATCGACATACCCTGAATGCAAAGCTCCTCTCTCGATACATTCCTGATCCAATAACAAGATCTCAGCTGGTTCAGCAAGAAACCTTGATGAACGCAGGTCTCCGATTTGTTCCACCCGGAGAACTGCTTCAAAATGCTCTCACAGATCCAAATGTAGAGCCCCGAGATTTGGGAGACATCAGTGACTTGGCAGGCCTGTCTGCACACACTGCGCTGCTCTTGTATGCATATTTGGGGCAACCACCTTTCTCGGACGAGGAACGTCGAAGCACTGTGATTCAGTCTGTGTATTTGGATGGCCGACGGGCAGACGATGATGACACCGTCTATGATGATGCAGGATCCAATCTGACGCTTTCAAGCAAACCTTTGCAAGACCTATGCCACATGTGTTCGTGGCAGCTGGCAAGTCTCGCCGACTTGTGCGACAACATGTGTAGCTTTAACAACAAGCCGATGCCGAAACCTCCTCAGGGCTTTACGGACGAGATGAGTGCCCTCATCAGCGCTTTGAGTAAGATGTTGAGCAAGCTTATTGGCTTGGGGTACTTCGAGCGCTTTCGGATGGACGCTTTCGCCAACAGTTCCACGACAAAGGAGTCTGCCAACATCTACAAGATTGATCACTTGGTCAGCATCTTCACCCTGATGCACAAGCTTCAGAGAACTCACCGAAGCGTGACGACCCCACTATTCCTCGCTGGTCTAACAGACGTTTGCAAAGTCATCAACCAGTGCTGTGCACTCTCTGTGAATGAGAATATCTTGCAGTTCATGACGGGCTTTCTGGAATTCATTCCTCCCACAGTTCGGTCAAAGGTTGGTGCTAGCATCCGGCTTCCCATTCGAGAGAAAGCTCCTGCAAAGAGCATCACAGCATTTGAGATGGAAGAGTGCGAAAGCATTGAACGGATCTTGGCAGATCTGGGAAAACTTTCTTTGCCTTGGGAAGCTGAGCATGTTGGCGTCTCTGAAGCTGCAAGGAACTTAGCAGAGTTTGTCACAGTACTGCTAGACTTTGTGTCCTTGCCTGATGCAAAGCTAGCAATTCAAGCGGTCAAGCTCCTGGCGAGACTCTGCCGTCGACGCAAGGACTTCTTGGAGGCCAATCTGAACGGCTAGGGAGTAAGAGACTTCTTGTGTGAGAATCTTTGCATTTGTTCTTTGAAAGTAACAAGAAGCTACTAGGAGCAAGGGCATTGCTACTAGGGCTCCTGGCATCACTACTAGGAGCAAGAAGCTACTAGGAGCAAGAAGCTACTAGGAGCAAACTCTTTGTTTAGTCCGGTAGGCTGCGGATAGAGTAGAAGAGGTAGCTATCGAAGCCATGAAGTAGAACGCTTGTCGGTAGGACACAGGATAGCTCACGCTTCTTCAAGGTAGCTTCCCCTGCCGCCCTAAAGGCGGTGTGGGGGAGCTTCCCTGAAGAAGCGCTCGCACTAATCATTTGGTTCCTAGGGAATGCCATTACTACCAAGTGAGCTGAGTAGCAATGAAGAGCAATGAAGAACGCAGACGGCGACTAATCCCACAGGTGTCCAAGAGCCCTCGACCAGTCCTGTCCCGGTTTCACCAGAGCCGCCCGACAGAGTGATCCCACCAGATCATTTGGGCACTCTGTTGAGTCAAAGAAGAAGAAGAAGAAGAAGAAGAAGAAGAATGAGAAAGAAACGACAAATGGAAGATAAGGTCCCATCTCAAGGGGCCTTACATCATCATCATCATCATCATCATCATCATCATCATCATCATCATCATCATCGAACATCCACATTCTCAAGGCGTTGTCCTGAGCATCATCATAAGCATGGCAGTATCAAAAAAGTGTAGAGAGACAGGTGTATAACTGGTGCGAACAAAGCTTGACCCCTACATCATTGTGATGAAGGTGTATTAGATGCAGGTGTATATGAATCTGCGCATGGACATTTGTAGGCAGCAGGTGTCTAGATATAGGTGTGCAAATACAGGTATATAAATGCAGGCGCACAGGTACACGTGTATGAATGCAGTCTCTACAGGTGTACCAAGACAAGTGCATAGATACAGGTGTAGACTTAGGGCTCAGCATCGTTTGACCCGCTGTTCTCGAGACAACTACGCATCCGCGGCCAACGGACCGACGACTAGTTTGGGAGCCAGCGACAGGTGCATTTGGTGAAGATAGTTGTGATCCTAGGAACGAGAAAGTAGAAGTTTCACAGGGGCCTTACCTTACCTTTCTTTTTTCGTCTCTCATTATTGGAATCTAAACTCATATGTATCTTAAATCTTTAGTTAAAGTTAATTTACAACCTTAAATTAAACTCTTGACATCTCTTGACTCTCCAAATTAGATTTTATCTTGAATCTTGTATCTTATTTATTTTGTCTCTGCTTGTGTTATCACCAGTCTTCCCGATTCGCCCGCTCCGATGGATCAGAGGACTGACGACCTGAAGGTTAGGGTTTTGCTTTTCCGCTTGACAAAACAAACTTTTAGAGTCTTTTGTTTTTGGTGTGCGCTTGCGTGGATTGTTGCTCTTGTCTCTGGGTTCTTTAAAGATCCTTTGAGGTTAAGAAAGAAAAGCTTTGGTTTCGCTGGCTTGGCTTTGCTTCTTGGGGATTGGTTTGGAAAAAGCTGGAAGGAGTCCGGGGAGGGCGCAGTAGTGCCTGACCGAAGAACCAAGCAACAAAGTTGCACTTTTGTGGTGGGTGTTTTTCCAACCTACTTGCGATGGCCTCCTCCTTTCTTTGGCCCCTTTCCTGAAGGCATGAAACACAAGTAAAAGAGCATCAACAGGCAGGTATGCCTCAGCTCCAACGAAGGTTCCTTTTGGAAAGCACCTCCAATTACTCTTGTTGCAGTATTCCAGAAAAATCGGAGCAACTGGAATTGGCGGCTTTCTGCAAGATGCAAAACCGCCATGCAGAAAGCATCTGCAGATGAGGTAGGAATGGCAAGTTCGAAGATGGAGGTGGCATACCCTTCGCCAAGTCTGCAGTGGAGGGACAGAGAAGTTTGGGATCCACAATTTCAGCCTCTTCCTGGGCAACAGTTTCTTTCATCACCTTTCGACAAAGTTGAGAAACATGGTGGTTGAGTTTGGATAGCCACAACTGCTGTGCATACACATATTCCTTACGCACAGATAAATCGTTTGACAGCTGTTTGCACTGTTCAAGAATCATTGACTGATTTGGCAGCAATATCTGCTGCACGGTTCAGCAACATATCTTGGACAGTACTTCCATGCGAAGCCAAGACTTCAGTAAGCTGATGCTCATCATCTTCAAGAAGATGAGGGCACCAAACACGCTGCAAAGGAACATCACCAGTGGCTGCTTCCACTGGACAATTAGATGCCAAAAATGCCATTCAGCATAAGGCCACGTGGAATCGTCGTCAGTAGTCAGAAGTGTCAAAGAATCCGTATGGATAATTGTGGGGTTGGGTGCGGCAAAAGCTTGCAGAATGGCCCAAAGCTCTGTTGCGCTTGACAATCTCGGAAAACTTCACCGGAGGTCACAGCAGAGCCATCCGCCTGCACCACAGCATTCAGTCGTTGACGGTTAGCGAGTCATGGCGGTTGGCTGAACAGTTCGGCTCATGCCGCCAAGTGCCCCTTTTGCTCAATAAGACGTCATCCGGCCGTCTTTCACCCCCAGGCTGGCTCTTGGCATCGCTACTAGGGAGCAAGGACGCTACTAGGGTGGCCTGGGGCCTTTGCCAACTTGGCTTTGCTGTCATGTTTGTGGCTGGCAGACAATACGCCGTGGGTTCATCTTGTTGACGACTTGTGTGCTTTAGGCATTCGAGGTGTTGTTTTGCACCAGAGACAAGTAAGATAGATATCTTGTGTCCAAACTGTCAGGATGAAACTACCATGAGAACGTCCTGATACAGGGCAGGAGAAGTGGGAACTGCTTTAGACATATTGGGAAATGTAAGGTGCATTCTGCCAAGTATGGTTGCTCTCACTTGCAGGGATGGCGCTGACGTTCTGAACAAGGGCCAATGGCCAATGCATGCAAGCCTCGTGTGAAGCAAACAACGTAGATCCATGATCCATAGATGTTTTTTTTCATTTGCTGTTCTCTGTTTGACTGCCTTTGCGCATAATTAATATGTTCATATATGTTCATCTTCATGATATACTTGCTGTTGGTTTGGAGTTCACTCAAATGTTATTCTTTTTGTTTGCATGTGGATCGTTTCTCAAACACTGACATCAGTTGAGGTTCGGGCTTGGTATCAACCCAACCAGTTTCCTGCCTGTCCAAAATAGGTCCAGACAACTTCCTTCCACTTTGCCACGCAAAAGATTTCCCGAGTGGGTGTCAGTCGCTACTAGGGGCTCCTGGCCGTACTACTAGGAACAAGAAGCTACTAGGGGCTCCTGGCATCGCTACTTCGAGCGATCGGACGCTACTAAGTAAATAGAATTTGGTGTCAGTCTCGCGTTTGGGTCGTCTCCGGCCTCCAACCGTTCGTAGCGTCCAATCGCTCCGTTCGAGTCGCGATGCCCGAAATGCTCCGTTCGTAGCGATGCCCTTGGTCCTAGTAGCGTCCTTGCTCCTAGTAGTACGGCCAGGAGCCCCTAATAGCTTCTTGTTACTAGTAGTAAGGCACTTGTTACTAGAAGCGATGCACTTGTTCCTAGTAGCTTCTTGTTACTAGAAAAAACATCGCATTTGGCACCACCAGCGTTGAGTGGACTTGCTGCAGTCCATCTCTTGTGTGTTTGTGCTCCCCGATTTGGTCCAGTTTGTCCAGCTTTATCTCCGATTCCAATTTGGCCTACCTGGATAGCTATTGGAAACAAGAAGCTATTAGAAACAAGTGCATCGCTACTAGTAACAAGTGCCTTACTACTAGTAACAAGAAGCTATTAAAAACAAGAATGTAATTGACATTCCCCACTGTCTACAAGAGGGGAGTCAGCAATTTTGAGCATCGTGCATGTGTTTTACTTATATGGATCTCACATTAGCTTGAAGGACAGCATTTGTGTTCCAGTTTTGTTTTGAGATCCTGAAGGCCATCGACAAATTAGAGCTGTTGGATATGGATGATGCGGAGAAGTTCAATGCCCTGGAAAGTTGGGTGAAGGAGACGGACTCAGTGATTGATCCATTTTTCCAAAAAAAGAAGCATTGCTATGAGGTTGGAGGCCATTGCCATGAGGTTGGAAACAAGCGCCTTTAGGTTGGAGGCCCTTGCCATGCGGTTAGAGACCAGCGCTATCAGGTTGGAGGCCATTGCCATGAGGTTGGAGGCCATCGCTTTTAGGTTGGAGGCCATCGCCATGAGGTTGGAGACCATCGCTTTTAGGTTGGAGGCCATTGCCATGAGGTTGGAGGCCATCGCTTTTAGGTTGGAGGCCAT